GACTTTTTTATGAGGCCACTCGGATGACCGTCATTATGTGAATAAACCTTAAACTTTGGAGCACTTTAAAATCAACATTTGTCCAGTTATGGTCAACATACATACATACACATGTCAACAAGTGACCGAAAATATCGCAAAAATTCAACGTTTGAAGGCAGTCCTGAAGGCTTTAGACTCACGAATAGACAAAAGGAAGTCCACCACTGAACTCCGTAGCTTTTTGAACGAGAACATACATATTTACATAGAATTCTACACATATGGTTGCCGTGGTACCCGGGAATATTGATGGCGATTGCAAAGCTGGCGAACTGACAAGGAAAGATACGCCTACCCAAAACCTTCCGGGAAAGGACACGGTAGATATACATAGCAATAGCCACTTGCAAGCAGTTTGTTAGAGATCACCGGAACTTGCGTTGTACTCATGGCGTCCGTAATACGTATACACACACTCCTTTGTAGCCTGTTTAACATAGAAACCATGGCTTTGACTATGGCTTTGACCCCGGTCTTACTAAAAGTTCTTCGAAACTGTCCAAAAACTTTGCGTCAGGAGGCTGTGTTCCCAAAACAACATTCACAGATCGGGAGTTGTGTAAGTCGAAACCTGTGAATGCCGTTTATTGCCTGTCGGTACACTGTCGGGTGAAAAGGTTGTTTTATGGGCCGCAAGCTCGTATAGATGCTTTCTGACGTGCCTAGGCGAGGCTCTGCAGCCAGCAGGTGTCTATTTGGGTGGCCGCATCTGTGGCACCCTGCTAGGAACTGCTTACATAGCATGGTGTTGAGCTTTTTGACGGAGAGCATTTGGTGTTCGTCATGCAGGTGGTGCTCTGGCGACATCAGAAGGCATCCCGTGGCGGTCCGCAGTACCGTGTTTTGGCAGATCTGTTCGTTCATCCACTGCGTCCTGTTAGTCTCCGGCGACGTCAGGAACACTGCATAGTATAGAACCAGCTGGCCAATTCGCTTGTATGTTGCCAACAACGTTTCTTTGTATTTTTCGCCGGCTAGCGGTTTTATGACCTTTATTGACAATCGCGGTTGTATGCGCTGAGAACGATCAGACTATCGAAGGTAACTCCGGATATTTTTTGGGTTATTTACCATAGGAATTGATTTGCCATCGACGTGAATTCCCAGCTGTAGTCTGACCTCCTTCGTCCAGGTAGTAAAACGGATTGCCGAAAGTTTCGTAGGGGAAAGCGATAGACTGCTTGCAGTGAAGAAGAGAGTAAAAGTTCGGAAAGGTAACCGTTTACTTTCGAGCAGAGGTCATCAATTCCATTGCCGGTCATCAGCATAAGAGAAAATACAGACTCCAGACAGAACCTGAGAAAGGACACAACTTTGTGGGACCCTCCATTAATTTTTCTTGGTTTCCTTGTTTGAAAATTACCGACGTGTGGCGACCACTCAGATAATTCGCCGATCACCGTTTGAGTCCCCTGGTGTCAAACGCCTTGGACAGATTCAAGGCTACTAGGATTGTTCTTCCGCAAGGGGTGGTTACGCTTAAGGCCACGAGTTATCTGAGCGTTAAGTGCTGTTGTTGTGCTGTGCACTTTACGGAAGCCATCTGATCAGGTGGTTCGTATAGTGCGGGTATAGCAAGGCCTCTAGTGTCTTCGCAACCGGGGAAAGGAGAGTTATCGGCCGATGAGACTACTTTGTTGATCGGTTTCCCGGTTTTAGTCACCGAGTATATTTCTGCCATCAAAAACAGCTTCCAATAAAGATACGGACGCCATTCGAAGTGGGCATAAAACTGTACGTCCAATCATTTGTGTAACAACATCAAGACGCACGCCACAAATCGGAGGAAAAGCTCGGCCAGACACGGCCACTCACATATTGTGCAAGCACCAATCTATATAGAGTAGATATTACACCGTGCGACAGTAAATTTTACACACACAAAAAACTAATATATTCGCGAAACTATGGATAAATTATAGTAAAACTGCGTACTTAGTTTTCCTCTCTGACGTCAGGATTTTTTTTTAAGGACTTTGAAATTTAAAAAATTTAATTATTTCAAAAAATTATTTAAAAAATTCGGTGCAATGTAGGATAAATAATAAGGGTATCATATACAAGAAAAAATTCTGTAAAATTATAACAGAATATTTTGGTGCATAAGGACGAATGGGTATGGAAAATGTCCTTTACAAATTTTGTGCTTAAATATCCTTGAAAATTTGCAATATTTTTTTTTTTTTAAATTATTGTTTGAGGACTAATATGCGCACCACCTCATCATCGAATTTCGTCCTGCAAATCGCATTTTCAATGCCTATTCGTCCTTGCAAACCAAAAAACTTGATTGTTTTTAAATTCTACACAATTTTCTCTCATTTGGTGCCCACATAGTTATTCTACATAGCACTGATTTTTTAAATACATAATTTTTTGAATCAATCATATCTTTAAAATTTTCAAAGCCAAAAATCCTGACGCCAGAGTGAGAAACTAAAAACGCAGTTTTACTATATTTGGCACATAGTTGCGTGATTATATAGATTTTTTCGTGTGTTTTGAATTCTTTTTGTTTTTGTCGCACGGTGTTATTCGTATAATTCAGTTAAAAGTCATAAGCCACAACTATGTATGCCAAAGCATATAAAAATTAAAACACAAAATTTTTGCGGTTTTTCTTATCCCGTTTTTTTTCGATTTTTTTCTTTTATTTCACTTAAATTATGTATATTTATTTCAATCTACACAGTTGGTTTAGTTTATTTTAGGTATTTTTTTGGGTGCCTATCGCGATTTTTTCTCTTTAATATGTACGTATGTATTTACTAAGTATGTATGTATATACAAATAGGTAAATTCAAAAATTGTATCGGCTATTAATTGATTTATTATATATATATATGTATATAATATATTCATATGGTATTGTAGTAAGTGGATAATAAAAAAAAAACTAATCAATTCTATGTGTCGCCTTTCAGCATTTTTAACACGCGATAATAAAAATGTTTTTTTATAAAAAAACATAAGCGCATATTCTTATTACTTTAATATTACTTTACACGAAAACGCATTTGAAATAAACAAAAAACAATAATCGTTTGCTACAATGTATTCATTTGAGTTTACAGCCGTAATTCCAAAAAAAAAATATGTAATTTTCTTGTTTTTTGCCCTTGACTGCGATATTTTGGTTTTATAATTTTCAATTCAAATAAAAAGTGCGTTTTAAAACACGAATAATCGAAATTAAAACAATAAATATTATGTTAGCAGCGAGCGCGATTATGAAGCGTTGTAACTTGACTTTATTACACTATGTGTGGAATTATAGTCGCAAAGGACGAACACATCAAATTGAAAAATATATCTTAAACGCTAAGTTTATATTGACTTATGTCTAATACCTTCCCATTTTGTTAATAAATTAAAAAATTTACAACTTTACATTGGATAATTTGAAGCATTAACTTTAAACTGCCAGCTATCGAAGGATAATAAAATGATGCGAAATAAAATAACACAAAAATAATAGCTGTGGAAAAAACAGGGCGACAATTATTTGTAGAAATGAACTCAAAATAATTCTAATTTCTAAACCTAATTGGGGCATTGCCTTGAACCCGGGATGGAAATTTTCGAATGAGATCTTAAATATCTTCCGAGGCTCGAGCCTTGCAGTTTTTGGTTTAAGAAATCATGTATATAATGCTTTCTCCTTGGGTGCGCATGTCTCAAAAGGCAATTAAAAGAAAATTAAGACTAGAAACAGTATTTAAATCTTCATATTTTCATAAAATAACCGTATTTGTATGCATTGCTTTTAGCACTGATTTAGAAGACATTGAAAATTTTAAATAGCCGTTAGGCTCAATAAATTATAGCCCATATGTTTTTTTCTCTATTTATCAAATAGCATGCCTACATATATAGTATGTATATCTTCGAAATATTAGTAAGTCAACAAATTTAAAGAAATAACTATTCGGTTGATTCGGAAATCAAAGATAATTCTCGCTATGGCTGTGTTACTAAACAAAGACTTATGATAAACAATTTTCCTAAATGGCAAAAACTTTGTAAGACCATCCAACAACACCTGTTCTATGAAAAATTAAAGGTTCAAATATAAATTAAAGGAATTCAACACGATTAGAACTCTACAAAATTCGCATTGAGACAATAAATGTCACTATTGGATTATATTTTCATTGGATTATAAATTCATATACCCACCTTGCTGCTTAAAGTAGAGCTGGGAGTTCTATCCGGAATTTCCGGATATTCAAATACATATCTGCTTAAAAATTCCGAAATATTAACCGCATATCCGGATTATAAAAGAGAACGGATATTAACCGGATATGTATATTTTATGCGTATAAACGAATTTCCGAACCGATATTCAAATATAGGGATAGTCGCAGCCCTAGCTTAAAGTGAAAGAAGCCTATTAAAACGTGGTGAAATTGGCTTCGAATCAGTTAACAGTTTGTGCTTTTCGAAGCATACAAATTAATGTAATATTTATTTTAACAAACGACTAGACTAACCAATTTTGAACTAAACCTCACAGAGAAAACATTTCGTAAATAAATAAATTGCGGAGAAATAAATTATAGAAAAAGCAAACCTATTGCAATTGCTTTTCCGGTTATTTGAAGGAGCAAAACTTTGTATTATAAAAATTATTTTTTCAATTTGAGGCCATAAATAAAAAACTTCAATGAGAGAAGCAACTAAATAAAAAATCAATCTATAATTTTTTTTTCTCTGGCATTACATCTTCTACTAAGTTTCAACAGCAGTCTCCTCTACGCACAACTGCTGACAAATTATATCACCTCAAGCGTGTTTGCCAAACATCATTTTTTTTTTGTTTCACTTTGTAACTTTTTTCACTTTAAAACTCTACTAGCTTACAGTTAAGTATCTGGTACTTGTAATAATCATAAAAATAAACGCTTATACGTGTCGTCTAAGCAAAGCGCTTTTTCTTGTTCTTAAAAAAAATACATACATACATAAATAGTACATTAAATATATGTATTGAGTTTTCTTAACATTTTATTAACGTTTTTATTTCAAATGGTTCAGTTTATAATTAATTCATGAACAAAATATTTGAATCAAAAGATATGTTAAGCAAAATATATATAAAACTTCAGAATTGTTTACTAGTAGAATAGGTAAAATCAAGTTATTGATAATATAAATATGTACATGTGGAATTTAAAAAAAAATTAACGTTGGAGTTCCTGCCGCAGTTGCATGTGTAGCTTGTAGGTATTTTAACATGTTTAAAAGCTAAATAAATTTCAACTAGCATTTCTTTTACGTTTATACATATATTGTTCGTTTGTGGTATATATGTAATGTTTTTTTCTGGTTTTCATATTATAAAATTGCTACATAAATTTAAGTTAACTTTAAGATTTACATAAATATTGTGTACAGAATTTCGTTGCAATAAATTCATGAAAAGATGGAAAGAAAAAATGAGCGCAAATGAAGAGTACACAAAATTTCAACAAAGCTTCGCCGACCGTGGCAACTGAAAAATTGCCGGTATGGAAGCGCGCCTGCATCCACTAACTGAGAAATCAGCTCTGCTGGCATTCAAAAGCTTAAAATTCTACACCTAAAATACGTTGCGTTGCCGCTATCTGCCAACACAATTGCATTTTAGAGCGTAAAGGTCTCCGCTGCTGCTTGTCACACCAACTTATTCCTCAGCATTTTAGCGCCATCTTCTATACCACACGCCTTGCTTGAATTCGCCTGCTTTCTAGACCACTCCACCGCCTAAAGCAGCTGCATGCGAGTTCCAAAATATTCGTCTTAAGTTATTAAAATTAATCTTCGTACTAGCAGCTAAATTTGTTTAATAATTGTAGCTACAGCGCTTGTCTCGATTTTTGCCACGCGTTATTGTGCGTGCCTTGAAGGCGGCTGCATTTAGTAAATGCTGTAATAAAAAAGTAAGTAATAATTAGCAAAACAAAAATCTAGCTTCTCAAAAACTGCATTCACTTACGCGTTCCAACTTTGACTGCTTGATTTTGGTGTGCCCATCATCGACGAGTTTAGCACCCAATTGAAAGATATCGCGTATGAAATCATTCTCCTGCAACTGCGATGTCATGCCAGGACCCATAACGGTGCACAGCGCCGAGTATTGATGATGTATAGCCCAGGAATCCAAGAGAAGGCACTCAGTGCCAAAACGAATGCTGATTTCAGGTGATGTATCCTCCTGCATGAAATTTAATTATGGATTTTTAGTAACCAAACCTATGCGCTTATGTAGATGGATGTGTAAAAGTATGTATATAAATGTATACTCTCCTTAACTCGCATGCAATGATGAAGCAATGGTGCAAAATATACAGCAATCAAATGCCAATTTCTTAGCCATACAAAATTTCTCAGTTCACTCAGTGTCGAACCAATGCACTATTTTAAGTGCTCATCATAAAAAACAAACAGGCACCAACCACACATGCCACGCTTTCTCTTCACTTATTCACCACACACAAAATACAATTTCTTGAAAAAAAAACAAAATCTGAGTCGCAAAATGAAATTTTTGTCATTCAATATTTTTTTGCTTTCATGTTAATCAAAATCATGAATCAAAATCATAAAAAGGTTATAAAAAACAATTCATTTTCTCTCCGGTTTCCAACAAAAATTTCTTGTTCTATTAAATACAATATAAATTATAGAAAATTGCAAAAATTTTCGTCCAAAAATTTAAGGTGAACGCGTTGTTGATAAACCATTAAAAAAAATTTTGCAAAATGCTTGTCACCACCTACCAACACGACTATGTGCCTCCCCACACTAGGCGTTATGAATTCGTTAAGAAACAAGATAAAGCGATAAAGGCGAAAGAGGAATGCCAATGTATTGATACAGCTAAAATTGAGGTGCCAAAAGAAGCAAAGGAAAAATGTGAAAGCGGTGCCGAATGGACGGGTATCGCGCCAATGGGCCGCCTCATCGACCCACGCATCATACCCACAAAACTGGCGCCCGATCAAGCTGATAACCTTGCAAAAGATCCGGATACTGACTGCTTCAAAGCGCAACCTAATCGTTTTTTGCAGATCCTACGCACCGCGTATCCAGACCTCTATGATCGACTGAAACAGATGCCCAAAGATGAATTGAATAGGCGGCTGGAGCGCCAACGACTTTTCACCACATATCAAATTGATTATTGCGACATGAATGAATATCCCGAGGGTATCTATGAGAGTCTCAAAGAGGAGGACGATACAGCTAAGCTCAATGCCACAAAATTGTTGCATAAGGAGGACGCTTGCGATGTGTTCCGCGCTAATGTAATGAAGGAATTAGATAATCAAACGCGCAATCCTACCATTACAGATCCATGTGAGCATGCGTACAAACCATTCAAGATCTCCTTCACCGACAGTGCACGATTCATCAATAGTGGCAACAACTCACACTGGCGCAGTAAAGCTTTCGTTACACGCAACAATTTCTCCGAGTATATGGAAACAATAAGCCGTAATGGCTGTGTTATACTAAAAAATAATTTACATGATCATAGCAAATGTGGTACTAACGGGAAACATTGTCGTCATCAGCTGCTGAATGCGTGCATAAATAATGTACGATAGGCTGGATCATAATTCAATGATAAAAGGTCCCTTAGGAAGGCATTGTGTGTGCATTCGTGAGTGTGTGCAAAGCTTTTGTAAGGGAGTTAAGGGAGTGTCAAAATTCGAATGTCGCTAGTGAGCAAACCTTGAATTATTGAATCATGAGGCCGGATGGGGTTGCGGATTGGGAAAGTTTATTTAAATTTGTTATTTTTGTTAGTGTCAAATGTTGCCAGTGAAAATAGTTTAGATTGTAGTTAAGTACTCGGAGCATAATATATTCGTTTGCGAATTTGAATTTTACACGCTATGTTTGTAAATTGCTATCAAATTTTTAACACTACTCGGAGCAATTGTTATGGCACAAAATATATTCTAGTAATTAATTTTAATCTTTCAATACTAATCATGCAAAAAAGTAAAATGATAATCTAGCCTTGAGAAAAAGGAATAATTTTAAACGTAAATAAATTTATAGTAATAATTTTTCCGTCATCAAGCATTTGTAATTAAGAATTAACAATAATATTACTACACAGAAATCGATAAAAGATATATTATAAAATATTTATAAGTGCGTTTAAGTTATAATATACATCTGAGTGTCATCGTAAATTACGTTTTTTTTTCTACAATGCAATTTTTGACTGATTCCTGCCGAATGTCGTAAACTCAAAAAGGGATTTCGAATTGAATTTTATTTGATCACGAAAGCCGTTAATTGGGTCACTCCAGCAACACTCCCCGAAAGTCTTTGGGGAATTTGTATGCTGTTACAACAACAACAGCAATAAGACCTAAACCTGTTCTACTTTATATAAATTTCTTTCTACATATATTTATTAACAACTTAAATAAAAGTTCTGCATCCACCAAGTTCTTCATCCATAATATGGATTCCATATATATATTAAAAACTAACGAACGATCTAATTATTTTAACGCTAACGACTCACAGATGGCGGGAAAACACAGAGTTGTATCAGATTTTGGACGTGGTTTTGAGCATAGGTTTTGAGTTGGTTTTTTTTTTTTAACCATCGAGTGAAATGGTTAAGAGCTGTAATTTTAATATGGCGGAACCACGCTAAATCAAATGAGTTTTCGAGATAACCAACTCAACATCCATAACTACGGGGTTAAGCTGCATGGGCACATAGTATAATAACCATCTCTGTGAAATGGTTAAGTGCTGTCAGTTTTATACATATGGCGAAACCACGCTATATCCAGTGGGTTATCGGGATAACCGATAACCAACTCAACAGCCATAACTGCGTAGTTAAACTCCGGTGGGGACATAGTATTATAATTCTTCTTATATTTTGCAATAACAATAAAGTGCACAATATCTCAGTTATTCGATTTCCTAAACCATCACTTCCTTGTGTAAATTTTAGTAGATAGGTACTTCATACTTTCAACACCGAATGCTTTGCATGAAATAAATAAAAACATTCACTTACCTCCAAATAATGCAGCACATCACGGAATGTGGCGCGTTGAGCCTTGCGATCACGCTTAGCGCGATATTTATGTGAGTCAGTAGCCAGCTGTTTAACAGCATCAATTAAAGCACCCAAATACTCTTCCAAAAAGTCTTTATCATGTGCACGACCACTTTCGAGTATCAGTGCTAACGTTTCACCAGCAGCTATGCGCACATCCAAGTGTGGCGATTGCAATAAACCCATCAATTTTTTTACCGAACTGTAAAAACGTAAATATTTTTGAAATAAATAAATGTAGTAACTGTGAAATGAAACGGTTTTACTCACGGCAACATGGGCTGACCATTGGTCATGAGTGACACGAAATCACCCGATGGTATGAGCGTCAAAAGCAAACCCCAAGCGGATAATGCTTCAGCATGCAGTGCGCCAGCTTCGGCATTCACCGAAACCGGTGATTTTTCATCGCCACGCAAGTAGCTGCCGCTAAAAATGCCTTCGAAAAATTGCATCAAAGTAATGAGATCGCCAATATCTTCGCCACCGAGGAAGTTGAGCAGTCCCAATGCAGTGCAACACTTGGCGCGTGCATCAAACGAAACAGCCTTATCCTGTACGGTAGTGAGCAAACATTGATTCAATTCCTTAGAGATCTCAACATCTCCGCCCAGTTGTAGCACCACCAAAGGTGCGAGGCGTGCGGCGTTCGACTGCTCGGCGCCCTTGCCACGGCGTATCGACTTTTCAATGCAATCAATTAGCGTTACCTTACGATCGTCAACGAAATCAGGCATATAACGATGCATTAAAATTTCACAGATATTCTGCAAAGCTTGAGTGCGTGTCTGTGCTGACTTCTCAGTGGCATTTTCGAGCGCTTGCATAAATTTCTCTTCGAAACGTTCATTTGATGACATCTCATCCATGTCGTTTACGGATGAGGGTGCATTATCCGAAGCGAAAGAATACACGCTGGCATTATCGTTAAATGACTCATCCTCAGAGTTGGAGTCACCGCTGCGGCCTGTGGGCGGAAAAGAACAATAAAAAACAATTTAATTAATGATAATTCACTAGGTAAAATATTCACTAAACTAAATGCTACTAGTCCTAAAAAGGGTGAAACCCCTCAACGAAATCTGGACCGGAATCACGGCATCCGTGATCGAATGGAACACGATGCTAAATTTCGATAACGAGGCATTGGGCCGTATGAATAAAAATTAAGCAATTGCTTTTTCTTAAAATTTCAGACCTTTTACTCGATTTATACAAAGAAATATAAGTAAAAGGTCTGAAATTTTAAGAAAAAGCAATTGTTTAGTTTTATTCATACGACCAATTTTTTTTTAAATAAATTTGGTTGTAGAAAAAAACAGCTGTAGTTTTAATGCATTCGATTCGAAAGAAGCTTTGTGATCAGATGTGATGACTGGTATGTCAAAGGGGCCCTAGTCGTGGCGTTCGCGATCGAATGATTCTTCGTTTTGAATAAAATTACAGCTGTTTTATGTTCAGTATAATTTAAATTGAATAATAAAGCAAGATTTATAGCCAGTTTCACGAAGACAATTGTAAGTAAGTGAAAAATGATCTTTTTATTAAAATTCAATATGAAAACCAACAAAAGGGAAAAAATCATTTATCGTGGTTGATGAAACCGCCGGTTAGAGATCGGCTTGGTAAAGTTTGTTCATTGGTTTCTTTTGTAACGGTACTACTAAGACCTGCATAAATCAGAGAAGGCAAATGAGGAGGTGATTGGTGTCGTGTTTTGTGCCTTCCACGTTGGGATCGAGTCGGAATAAGTAGGGAGTGACAGTCTTTGGCCAGATATAAGTCTGGCTCGTTCCGGTTACGTAGACTCGACTGTCGTGGGAACGAAGCCTGCTGAAGTATTTATACATTGTTTACGTCAGAACTCCGATGGCCGCATTTACGGAGCAAGAGTTTGTATAGGTAGTGATTGTCTCTCGGTGAATGTCGTTTCTGGCTTGTCTCTACAACGGCAGGTCCACCGGGTTTTATCCGACCAAGAGCTAGTTTGTTCACGATGGGCATAGGATTGGAAAAGGGCGAAAGAGGCCCAATTTATGAGTAAAAACTCAAAGTCAAAATCTTCAAACCCACCAATCCGTGATAAAGAACGTCTGTCCTGCTAGCGGACCCATTTTTCCAAATACTAATAAAAATTATTGAGAAATTGGGTGCTTGACATCATGCTCCTGACCCTTAAAAAATTCTTGCGGATTTCTCATAAGACTTGTAAGAACATTAAGAATTAATTCTGGAGGACCTAAAGAGCATCTAATTGCTTTATAATGTTTGTCAGGGTTCGACGAAATTTTAGTGGGTGGGTAAGCTAAAGTGACATCACGTTTCTCGAAAACAAGGTGAGCGCCTAAATTAAAATATCGCATAATTTCTCAATAACTTTTAACGGTATTTGGATAAGTGGGTTAGCTAGCGTGATGGACGTTGATTAATTAGATATGATTAATTTAATATTCTCTTCTTCTTCCCTGGATATATCATTCAAGAAAAATTTCCTCAACATTAATTGCATCCTAGTTTTGGTTATTTATCAAAAAGCAACTTATTTACTAGCGAATTTGATTTTAATTTTAGAAAGTATGCTCTTCATGTTCTGTTGAAACAAGTTCTTTGCTACAATAGCAAATGTCATAGGCATTACGTCATGAAAATGCATATTACATACAAGATACACGGAATCCGATTTTATATTGAACTCTAAACAACCCCATATAGCAACAAAAAAAACGTTTCACACCCACGAAAAATATGCTTTTTTGAAAAACATGCCAGATCATCTTATCATATACACAGTTACAACAAAGAAAAATTCACACATACATCACAAAACAAAAAAAAGGCAAGTTTGTAAACTGGGTAGGACGCACAAATGAGTAGAATACTCGATAGTATTCAAAAGTATACAAAATAATAATAGTAGAAGCGAGGAAGCTAGGTGAATTTTTATGAATGAATCACCAACGCCCACATGAGTGTATATGAAACTTATGGTAGATAGACGTGTACATCAGTGATCGGACTTAAAAAAATAATTTTGTGTGGTAGAATCTGGAAAAAAAATGTGGTAGATTTCAAAAAAATGTCTCAGGTTTTGGATCAAACTTTGTACAAAAATTAAAAATATTCTGCTAGGTTTCACCTAAATTGCAAACATTTTAATTAGAATCTAAAAAAAATTAATTGTAGTATAATAAAGTGCAAGATTAAGTTGCTAAAAATTGCGTCGAGTTTTAGCAATTTTTTTCCTTGAAAGTGTAAAGCAGTTCCTTCCATATCAAGATATTTTTCGAGCATATTTCGAAAGATTTCTGCAACCTTGTGGAGTGCTGCCAGCTTTCCTTTTTATCACATCACGATGCAGCGAACAAATGTGGCACGTTCCAGAAACCGCTACTTGGGATTTGCCGATTTTGAAAATTCTCAAGTAAAAGTAAAGAACGCTCTAGAAGCTTTAGATGCACTGAAATTGGCTAATACTTTCACAAAAATCGCCGTTTTTTACCATTTTCGCTATTAATTCTTTTTATAAATCATATATTTTGCAATTTAACACAATAAAACCACGTTTCCTGTCGAAAAATTGAATATTGAAAAAATGTACTATTTTACACTTTATTTTATCCTCACATTTTGCCTGGTGTTAGTGATTAGTGTTAGACAATTTTTGTGGTTGATTTCAGACCTTGTGTGGTAGATGTGGTAGATGCTCAAAAAAGTGGCAGATCTACCACAATGTGTGGTGTACATACATATGTATGTGCGATTGATAGGATGCTACATTGGATACTAGCGGCCAATGAAAGGTATGCGAAGCAAGTAAGGAGAAAAGCAAAGTGCGGGTTTGCATACGAAACCGGAAAATGAAACCCAAGGGGTGAAGTGAGCCATTTATGACGCAGTTCAATTTCCACCAATGACAAAAATGCACCAATGTGATATTTATCAACGAAGGTATAATAAGATATTTGCATTGCTTGTAAATATTTATTATTCACTCAGAGTTTCATTTGTGCAAAGTCACCAAAATTTTGAAACAGAAATACTAACAATAAATAATAAGTACAATATATTTTACATATGTATGTATATACATACATACAGTGGTTCACAAAATAATAGGAGCGCGATATTTTGATCAGTTTTGGTTATTTACTTTTTGTTTATTTAATGTTTATTTTTTTTTTATATAAAAGTCTAGCTGGCTATACAACAAACACCAAATAAATTCTGAAATTAAATTTTTGTACAAAAATTCAGCAAATTTTCACCAACATTTCTAACTTTTTAATCAGAAACTTTAAAAAAAAATCTTCAATCTGCTAAAAAAAAATCCGTTGATTTTTGGCAATTTTTTCGCTGGCAGTGTCCTCCTCCATATAAAAGAAAATTATCGATCATACTTCGTATGAAAAAAACGTGAAACACCTTCAACCAAACGAATTCTCAAAATCAAGATAATGCCTTAGCAGGTTGAAAATTTTGGGTGAAAATTTGCTGAATTTGTATAAATTTTGTACAAAGTGGTGTTTGTTGTTTTACCAGCTAGACTTTTATAAAAAAAAAAAAAACAATAATAAACATGAAATAAACAAAAGACAAATAGCCAAAACTGGTCAAAATATCGCACTGCTATTATTTTGTAGACAACTGTACAAACAATAAACAAAACAAATAACAGTCTCAATGAGTCAAATTACACCATGTCAATGCGCTCTGGTCGTAAAATATGTGCCGTGTTGCAATTATTTTAATTGCATTTTTTAACTCGTCACTGTGACGACACACCTAAGAATTTTACGGAGACGAAGAAAAGTTAGATATGGACAAGAAAAAATATCGGAAAATCGTCCGATGGATAATTTTTCACAAAAAATATTAAAGCGTTACAATAACTTTCAGGACTTTGAAAATATTAAAAAAAAAAGTGTGAAAAAGATCGTGACACAAAGATCAGCCGTAGGCATTTTTTTACGATCAGCTGATGGTTATTTTACAGGCAGTAATAATTTTGACATAACACTGATTGAACTTTTTACTATCAGCAAAAAACTAGTAAAGATGGCGATTCTAAACAAACAGCCAATAATAAACAACCGGAAATGATAATGATGGGTTTGCCTAGGCTAGTGTAACTCGACAATGTCGAAAACACAAGCATATTATTTCTATAAAGAATTGAAGCGCTCTTCATAAATCAAAAAGATGGTTCTATCTAGTTATTTACTGCTGTATATTCGTTTGAGCTCCTATTCAACTGTGGGTGATTGAATTCAACTGGTCAGTGCAATTTCGAAATGCTCAATAACCTGTTGGCCTTCAAAAAATCGTTACCGAAAAAAATTATATTGTATTAGTAAAAGTAAAGCACATTAATACATATGGGGCATTCCACACCGAATCGGACACCATTTAGCTTTTGCATTTCCCATTTTTTCAGAATTTTTTTATGTTATAAATAGTACCAATTGAGGTCTCCATGATTTTGAAATTGTTTCCTTTTCAAAACCCCTGAAATATTAAGTCGAAATAATTTTGGAAACCTTTATTTTTATAAAATTTGCAAATTTTTAAAAATGTTGACTTTTAAGCATAGTCCGATAATGGGATAACAATGGGAACCCTTTTTTCGTATTTTTAAAATTCCATATTTCAAATCGATTCGGAAAAGGAAAAAAGTGGATGAAATGCGGATTTTTGTCCGTTTATCAATTCCATTTTTGTATGCGTTGACGATCCGTTTTTCCACTAAAGTGTGCTGCAGAAACGTATATACAGACAAGTACCGAAAATTGTTGTGGAACGAAAACGTTTTCACTTTTTTTTCAAAAAATTTGTCTGATTTCTTTTTTACCTGCCTTTTATTAGCTCGGGATGTAACTATGTAATATTGATGCGCCTAAAAGGTGCAGCGATTTCTATTCTCAAGTTACATACCTGATGACAGTATGAATGGAAATTATAATAGCGGGGTTTTAGTTTTTTAAACTATAATTTTATTTCTTCTGCACTCCACAGATGCTTTTTCATGGTTCAAAAAAAACAAAAAACACAATTATTGCTTTCAAATAACATCATCCTTTTCGAAAGTTTATCGGATACGAAAATGAGATAAGTGTAGTCTTTTGGATACGTAAATAAACGAAAATTGGAGTCGTTTTCTATTCGTTTCCGGGTACCGTAAAATTGTAATACACCTTTTCCAAGAGTACTTGAGAAAGCTTAAAATGTACTTCAGAAAACGTAAAATGTACTTCAGAATAGTTGGTTCATTTTACGACTGACTATTCTGAATTACATTTCACGTTTTCTGAAGTACATTTGACGCTTTCTGAAGTACTCTTGGAAATGGAGACCGCACCATCGGCAAAATGCAAACTGCAGGTTCAACATTATTATCGACGTGATCGACTCCACAACATATGTATAACAGGGACTCAGTAACGATATTTAACCTGTAGTTAGTATTAACCAGACAATCAGTAACCGGCCTTTCCTTCAGGTCCACCAGTATTAGTTTTAGCCATCTGTGATATGTAATAGGTATGTCTTAATAATTGAATGGATTATAACCGCTTATTTTTATTTATTATGGGACTAGGCATAAAAGTTGCAAAGCTAGTGAAAGTTTTTTCGAACAAATTTTCAATTAAACCGATCAGTAGATAGATATGTAAGTGTTTTTCGTAAATCAACATTTTATATTAAAAATTTTTAAATTTTAAACACGCTTTCGAACTTTTCTCCGATTTTATACTCCAAGTGTTTTGAAAAAATTCCAAATGGGACCATTTTTCGCAAAGTTATTGGCATTTAAAAATAAGGATTTTTTTTTTTCAAAAATCGATATCTCGAAAACGGCTGGAAAAAAATTTAAAAAAAAAATCGGCGATACCATAACATAAAGAAGTATAATAAAAATCGGAAATGCAAAAGCTAAATGTGTCCGATTTAGCGTGAAATGCCCCATATGTATAAATATACATAAATACATACGTATATGCATATCGTCACCTAAAATGCATGTAACAAGCATCGTCGCTGAAACGCAAAAAGTCGTAACTAATGAAATATTCAAAATTCACTTTTTGATTAATATGACGGATTTCATCGAATTACAACTCCCCACACCGTTTTATAAAAAAAAAAAAAATAATAATTATTAGTAACGACTTTTTCCATCGCAGTGACGATGTTATTGCGTTTTTTGCATTTCAGGTGGCGATATGTAATTCTGTAGGGCGTTTATCGCTCTCGCGACAACTAGTTAGCGCATAGCTTATCAGCTGTTATGTATGTATGTCTAAAATTAGCTAACCTAGAAGTAACGTTAAATTGCAGCTACTCATTAATAGCTACAATTCCACAATACGTACTACTTTTAATTTGACAAAACATACTTATGGTGTTTTTAGCAAGGGTATTATTGACATAGGTGTTGAAAACGTAGATATTTATATTTATATACTTAAACTAATTTCATAACACAAAAATGTAAGCAGATATATGTACATCGACTTAGCGGCGTGTTTTCAAATGCTAATTTCTAGAAAATTGAATATTTGCCAATTTTAGCTTTGAAATTATTTTAATAATACATATGCAGTACGTATGTACATATGTACATAGTACTAAAGTGAATATATACATATGTACAGCTGTGTTCAAAAAATAATAATAGTGCCGCTGGATCATTCCCATCAAACAAGAAATCCATAAAAAAAAGATATAAAACATAGCAAAACTAACGGTTTAAATAACTAATTTACTTGCTAAAATCGAGAAAATTTGTAAATTTCGAGTGCAACAATTTTTTTAAAGATCTGGTATCCACAAGGACTTTTCACATTTCATTTATAATGACGTTCGTTCGTTTCTATGGTTTAAATAAAGTAGCAATTAAAAAATATTAGTTACACGGGTTATTATGTACTTCAATTAGGTTGACAAGTAATAATTTATAGAAAAAGTTGTGTTACTATGTTGAAAAAATAAACAAAAATTTTTATTGAAAAATCCCAATCTCAAAAGATTTTCCCATTTATGTTTGTATGTACGTCTCACATTGCTGCCATGTATTGGGCACAAGGTGATTTCCGCTTCAACTAAAACGAGCACATGAACCAGAAAGCGCATGACAACATAAATGTTTATTTTTATGTAAGTATGTATACAGTATGCATGCGTGCATGTTCATAAACACATACACAAACGGGTGGCCGATCAACAATCAACGAGGCAGATACCTATGTAAGTAGCCAGCCAGCCGCCTCAGTACGAAGAGCGCTGACTGCACACGCCACTATTAGCCGTATAACAGAAAGAAAAAAACGAGTTTTACAATCCAAATATGCAATCAAGAAATAGTAAAAAAATCCAAAAATTTCTGAAATACCAAAAATGCCTTTCACAAAATTAAAAACAGCTGACTGCCTGATGGCGCCGCTGAGAGACAAGACGCCAGCAATTCACTTCGGAGCGGCCATAAGAGTTTGCAGCACTCTAAGCACATGCAATGCAATGAGCCAGTCAACCAGACAGACTGGCCTTCGCAAGCCAGCCTGTTGAAGTATAACAAAGCCATACACAGAGCTCTTACATTTGCCAAAGCTTAAGTTTAATGAAAGTTGCTGGCCTGGTTTATGGATTTGGCCAAATCTGGTTTTAACAGATTTTGTGAAGGGAATCGGAGTTAGTTTGTGGGCAAGTATGTATGTATGTATAACTGTTAACGATTAGAGGCCGTGCGGCATAACTTAAGGTGCAGCTACTCATATTTTAAGATTCAAACAAAAAGAAATGGATGAAAAAAAATTGCGGAAAAAGCCAAAATAGGTCAATAGACAGGAAAATTTGAAAGGATTATTGCATAAGCAGCAGAGAAGTTGGAAAATGTATGAATGCATCATTATGAAGTACCAAATGAAATAATGGATTGGGTTTTTATTAAACTAAGCGGCAGTCGACAATAATATACATACATTTGTTTCTCCACAGATATGTATGTATAAGAGAGTAGAAAGATGTCCGGACCGGTATATTGCAATTTTGTCGAACAGTCAAGAAGCTATGTAGGCCCTCAGATATTCATTTATCGAATCGAGAAGAGATTGCTTTCTCTCCGCCAAATGTGAAACGATGAGCAACGAATAAATTGCAGCGCCGAGAATATGATCGCATGTGAAAAGCAAGACGTAGTACTAGAAACCACAAATATTAATGAATTTCCACCACGATACTCGGGTCTATGGAACTGGAACGACCCAGAACTACATATATCGGGTCACTCCAGCTTCAGACAGCCTATAAATAACATTTATCGAATGACTTTTACCAGCTTTTTGAGTTCTCGCCCCGTCAATATCGTAATAGGTATCTAACCATCGGCTGTTGCATAAGAAAGAGCTCAAGTTACCTCATGAAGTGGACGTTCAAATCGCTATAAAAAGAACAATTTAAAATCCATGAAGTCGGAGTGCATTATTCCGATATATAAAAACACAACTCCACAATCCACTTAAATAAAAAACCATAAATGTACCAAAACTTTAGGTTTAAGGAGGTTAAAATCGGAAAAAAATTTAAACAAGTAATTTTTAAGCAAAAAAACAAAACCGACTTCGAAGTCACATATAAAAATTTAAGATTATCGTTAATTTCTTATTGATCCAATGATCGGGTCTAAACTAAATTAGCATAGGACCACCTTTGAGCATCAACCTTTCTTTAAAAAAAAAAATACAAGAATTATAGAAATCGGTTAACGAGGTACAAAGTTATGCGGTAATATACATTAAAATAAAATTATAGTTTAAAAAACTAAAACCTCCCTATTATAATTGCCATTCGTACTGTCATAAGGTATGTAACTTGAAAATAGAAATCGCTGCATCTTTTAGGCGCATCAATATTACATAGTTACATCCCGAGCTAATAAAAGGAAGTTAAAAAATCCGCCGTATCGATAACCTCCTCCTTATTTTGAAGAAGTCGGTTAAAAACATCAGTAAAATCAGTCGCCAATCGTCGGTAGATTTACGTGGCCATAAGCGACTTAACACGACGCTGTTTCAAATCCACCAAGATATCCCCGACGATAGTCCTTGCTCCTCTACAAGGAGAAGTGAATAAAAGATAGAAGTATAAAAATTACTGTATTGTCATTTGAAATGTTTGCCTTTCTACTGAATAGAAGGGATTTTTCGCTACCAGTAAATTCCCAGGTACTTATGCTATCTAATCTAACACAAATTAGAAGTGATGTGAGCGTTTTAGTATTATTTAAATACAAAATGTTATCTAAATAAATATGTAAATACGATATATGTATTTATTTATGTACGTATGTATCTTTTTCGCCTATTTTATTCACGTGAATGTCTACATAATGTATGTATATGGGCAAATCTAAAATATAGGTACACTTAAATTGAACCTATACCAAATTTTAACCTGTTTAATTGGAGGAGTTATAACGCAAAACAACGTTTCCGATCAATCAGTTGTATGGGAGCTAGATGTTTTAGTGAACCTATTTGGATGATTTTATGGAATAGTTAAGGTAATATTAAAAAACGGTTATATGCAAAATTTTAGTAAAATATCTTCAAAACTCAGGAACTTGTTTTATAAAATAGTTAAAATTTAAGCAAAGTTTCAAGTACCGCTATCTCGAAAAGTGGAGCCAATAGGGTAAAACAGAGAACGCCATTGAATTTAGAAGGCTCCAATTAAGTAAGAGCAACTATATTAACATTTGTCGAAAAAAGTGGTTTTGATACCACTCACGAAATATTCTGACTAAAAGAAGGAGCATCATTAAAAGTAGTAAATCAGGATTTTTACACACTTCTAGAGAACAATTTTTTGAAGCATTTTACAGGTATATGTAATTTTATAAGGACTAGCAGTTATAGCAAGATTTAGATTGTTTCGACGTATTTTCCAAATGTGCCTTCAATTAAGGTGTTTTTGAAATAAAAATTACGCTCAAGATCGCAGAATATTTTATCTTTAAAAGCTAGTTTATTTTGAAAGCAAACCTCTTGCTAAGGTATCAAATTAATCGTAATTGTTTGTAGAATACAATACATACTTAAAAAGTATTTAAATTTAAATGCTTCAAAACCTATACGCGATAAACCGAAAATTTTGAAAATTGTGAAATGTGGAGTTACAGACTTTGAGTTACTTGCCATTTCGTTATTTTTTAATGCACACTTTTCTCACCTACTACAAATGAAGTGTACACATAAGTGCTAAATATGCCCATTTAATTTCAAATCAGAATATGGCGTGCTTCAAAAGTTATGACATAATTAATTGTGAACCTCTTAAAAATTGCATAAAAAATTCACTTGTTTCCATAATTTTTTTTTTTTCAATCACCTATATTTCAAAAGTTATGCAGCAAATTGATCCAATTTTTTTTTTAGGCTTTAAGTATACGTCAATGAATTATATCCAAACGCAACCAGCTTGATTTAGTTTACAACAGTGAATATAAAGCTAAACAACACAAAGATTACCTGGTTTTTAGATTTGCCCATATGTGTAGTACTTTTCGAATATTTGCTTTGTTCGATACGCAAGTGTACAACAGCTGTTTTCGCATATAAAAATAAGTTGTTTAGCGTCTACATATGTATGTCAGTATGTACAAGTATTTTATATAAAGTGCCAGCATTGCTGAACCTTGTATATAGCATGAAGATATGTAAATAAGTATGTATGTACAGTATTGGCCATATCTATAGCACACCCATTTCAAAGTGATATTGTTTGCCACTTATGTTTAATTATTAACTTTTAAGAATTTTCAATTAAAATACAGTTCATTCCCTAACAAAACCCAAGATTTAAACTTTGTTAAACACAAAAAAAAATGCAACAAATTTTCACCAAAATTTCAAACTTTTTTCTCAGAAGTGTTAGAATTTTTTGAGTAAGGACGCAGTTTTATAGCCCATTCAATTTTAGTCTAACAATGTGCAAACTTCAAGTGACTAGAAATTACCGTTAATTTTTTTTAATTTTTTTTTGTCGCTTCCATATAACGAATAAACACAATTTATTTTTATATGTAAGAAACCTGCAACACCTACGTCGAAAAAAACTATAAAAAAAAATCAACGGTGATTTTTAGCCACTTTAAACTTGCACATTGTTAGACTAAAATCAAATAGGCTATAAAACTGTGTACTCAAAAAATTCTAACAATTCTAAGAAAAAAGTTTGAAACTTAAGTGAAAATTTTTTGCATTTTTTGTAGTTTTCTAAAAAGTTTTAAACTTGGGTTAATATGGGTTTTGTTAGAGAATGAACTGTATTTTAATTGAAAATTCCTAAAAATAAATAAATAAACATTAGTGGGAAACAAACAATATCACTTCAAAATGGGGGTGCTATTGTATTGACCAATACTGTATGTATATTTTGTTTTTTAACGTCTGCGTGAGCGTGTTGGCGTGTTGAGCTATTTGTCTATCCTTATGTTTTTGTATGCATATACTATAGACGCATAGATAAAACCGACTGTTGCTTCATTGGCTGGCATTGAAACTTTTAGTATATATACAGTAATTGAATATAAATACGCTGCGTACTTATGTATACAGTGCCGCCCACTTAAATAGCGCCCTCTTTCGATCATCAGTATTGCCAGTATATACTTGTTTATTAAATATTCATTAATTTTTATAAAAATGTTGCATATTCTATAGCAAAAACGATGTAAATACAAAAACTGTCAATAATGAGGATTTTGTTGTTGTAGCAGCATACAAGTTCCCCAAAGAGTTTTTGGGGAGTGTTGCTGGAGTGACGGCCTTGGCCAGATATTGTATGTAAATCTGGGTCGTTCCGGTTACGTAGACCCGACTGTCGCGGGCACGTCAATAATGAGGATCAAAGAGGGCGCTATTCAAGTGGCTGGCACTGTATGTATGCATATACAACGCAGATATACCAGTGAGTGATTATTACGACACGACAAAAAATTTTCAAAGATAAGAATGTGGCGAAGTCATTATTGGTTCGTACATACAAATGTGGATTATATGCGTGTACACACTTTTATATAAATATGTATGTATGTACATATATATGTATGGATGTGCATACAGCTTTTTATGAGCAAACAAATAGGAAAGCGTAAAAATCATAATTTCCTCCAAAATTTCCGTCACTTTAAATGCTGAATTCCGTATTTGTTGTTCGTCAATCAAAATAAGATAAAAGTGTAGGAGTATACCCGGACTAAGCATTAATTTAAAGCTTAAACAGACGGCAACGTTGATCCTGACTAACTCGGACTTAATCCGGATCAACTGCAGTTAATTCCCGAGTTGATCCGGATCAACGCTGCCATCTGTTTACGCTTTTAAGTTATCGTAAATTAGGTGTAAGGCGATTTATTACTATACCATAAACGACACGAGTTATGGGTCTAGCCCTTAAGGCATGACCGCCAAGGACCCCATCTTGTAAATAGTTAGCGGAATTAAGAAACATTCGAGATTTGATAGCGAGAACGCCGGACGCGTTTTAATAAGCCCTTAGATTTCTGAATATTTTAATAGTAAAAAGTACCCCAAAGATACAGGTTGTCCAAATATCTCACATAATGCGCCGCCTATCGGCAAAATTTTTGCGTGGAGCAGAGCTGTAAAACTGTGAAATCATTTGAAATTAAAAATCATCAATTTTATATTATTATGTTTTCATTGAATTCTCCCTTATTGAATAATGCGGCTTATAGTTTTCCAATTCTACATTCACTCAAAGTAGATACGATTGCACACATTTCCATATTCAAAGAAAGATTGAAAAAATTTAATGACGAACGATTCACTTTTAACACTGAATAAGCACTCAGATGAATGCAGCTTTTGCTATGTGTGCACACATCCACTCAGTACCAATCAATTGATATAAATAATTTGAACACACAAAACCCACTGAAAAATACGCCAGGTTGCATTTTATTAAAAAGACTGCAAAATTTCAACACGAAAAATAGTTAATAGAGCGTTATCATCAGTTTTTTTTCACTTAAATTTGTACAAGGATTTATAAGAATAAAAAATATTAATTGGAGAAATATTTTTTAGTGAACGTACATACATATGTAAGTTAATATAAACTAACAAATTTAAGAGCTTCTGGTTCTAACTTTAGACATACATATACATTTCATTATTTAATTATAAAAATTTTTGATACAAATTTCTTCGTACTTTTTTTCGTCGCTATTGGGTCAAGCAGTTAATGAAGATTCGAAAATCGAATTTGTTGGTTTGTGGAGGTTTTTTCATTTACAATAAGCCACAAATTATCAACATTTCCAACAAAAAAATATTTAACAAAATTCGTTGGTCTCTATTTTCATTAACATCCTTTTCCGAAAGTGCAATATTTAAGAATTTATACCCATTTCATTGAGCACGCTTTTTAACCCAAGTTTTGGTTTGTTTGTTAACATCAAAACTACATATCGACACCTAAGTGGAAGATCGACCTATCTCGGCAGCCAGTTCGAAAACTCCCTATCTCAAAAAACTGTTCTAGAACACCCTATTTCAGAATTTTGTTGAAGAACGCCCTATCTCAGAATGCGGGTCAAAAACGCCCTATCTCGGCAAATTTTGCATATATTTTCATTTGAGATATGGAGTTCTTCAACCAAATTCTGAATTGGGACTTTCATAAAAAGCTTTCTGAGTTAGGGCGTTTTTGAACTGGCTGCCGAGATAGGTCGATCTTCCAATCAGGTGTCGGTATATTAATAAAAAATGATTAAACATTGTCTGCTGTAACCTATTTTAGAAATAATTTATTTATTAGGATTTGCAATTTGAAAAAATCAGTTCCTTCCAATTTTGGGAATCAAACGGGACCCCACACAAGCAAAACTCGTTTTCTACAATCTTTATTAACCTGAAGGGCTAGACAACAAACAACCGCTATGCGAACCAAGTTATAATACCCATGTGCACAAATGCGCTCGGGTGTAATTATTTTTAAAACATTATTCTAAATGTATGTTTTGAGCAAATTGATTTCAAAAGTTAGAAATATGTCCCATTTTTCAAAAATGTATAATAATAAACATGTGAGTTTTTTAGCAATTTGTTTTCTGTAATTAAGGAAATATTATTATTATATATACATATATTCTGCGAAAAAATGTCTACAATCAATTTTTAAACCCTTTTCGCAATTGGTGTACTCTTGTAAACGGTAAATTTTGTTACCATCTCATAAGCTGGTAACAAAATATTGCCCCGCCCCGTGAAATATGCATTGCCAGAATTTCCACAATTCTTCATGGCTGAATTGCTGAATATATAGCATTACCAACGTTCCTAGAATCGCGGTGACATGAACAGGAAACATTTTTGGTAATAAAATTTTCCGGTTACAAAATCTTCGGTTACGTGCAGAATAGACCTTTTATAGTTCAAAAGTCTATAATACGAAGGGACAGATGCCGGTAATGAAATTCTTAAGTTTTTTCAAGCAAGAGTTTTAAAAACTCAATTCTATTGACACTGTTTTATATATCTATATACAGTTCATTAGTTTCGAATCTCAATCTACCATTCAAAAACACAACACAGTTTATTTGTTTTCAAGCATTTTAAGCCACTCAGGAATGAGGCTTTTTTTATACAAACAAACAATCAAAATTTTGAAAAGAATGTCGAGTGAATGCAGATCCTATTGATTCAAGCATTTTACAGCTCTGGCGTGGAGTTATTCCTTTACACGTAGCTAGCATATGTACATATATTCCAAATATATCGACCCCGCGTCACTAAAAAATCACCGGTAATTTTAAGATACTTGAAACTTGCACTTGACTAAAATTGAGCGGGCTACAAAACTGCATAAACATAAATTTTGTAAGGATTCTAATTAAAAAGTTTGAAATTTTTATGCAATTTTTTTATAGTTTGAAATTTTTATAGATTGAATTATATTTTAAATTAAAATTTTTAAATATAAATTGCAAAGAGTATCTTTTTGAATTTTGGTGCTAAGCAAGGCGAATTTATATTTGCGTTCCAGATGCTTCACGATTTGCAGGTTTTTACAGGAAGCCGGTCCAGGTGACCAAATTCCATAAGATTTATTAATGGAGAAAACAGCTATTCCTGCAAATCCTGTAAAACCTGCAAATCGTGATGCATCTGGAGCGCAAATTAAACCCCTTTCGGACACGTCAAGTCTTGATTTCAAGTCTGGTCGCTCGTAGGCGAAGGAGGTGGGACGAATGTACTTTTCCCCTCTCTGCACACCTCCTTCGCCTTCGAATCGAGCAGACTTGAAAGCAAGACTTTACGTGTCTGAAAGGGGTCTTATATAAGGTGGTGTTACAAGATCAGCTGATTTTGTGAATGTGTTTCGTTGTTGTTGTTGTTGTAGCGGCACTACTAAGCCCCGCCTGTTTCGGGTCAACTTTTAATCATTATCGTCAAGCTCAACTAACGGTAGGCCCAGGAAACGAGCTGTTTCGATGGGGTCGGACCAAAGGGAGAGGGGTGTTAGTTGAGTCGGATTGAGCTGGCATGTGAAGAGGTGGTTGGTGTCGTGGGGGGAGTCTCCACATGNCCAAACTGGCGCAGCATAATTTAGAACCGGCCGGCCAATTGCCTTGTATGTTGCCAGCAACGTTTCTTTGTCTTTGCCCCAAGTGCTGCCGGCGAGCGACTTGAGGACCTTGTTGCGGCTCTGTACTTTGTTGACAACTGCGGTTGTGTGCGCGGAGAAAGAGAGCAGGCTATCAAAGGTAACCCCTAGAATTTTCGGGTTGTTCACCGTCGGTATGGGTGTGCCGTCGACGTGAATGCCTAATTCAAGCCTGACCTCCTTCGTCCAGGTGGTGAATGTGTTTCGTCTCACGTTTGGATTTCCACACGCATTCTTACAGATTTTGACAGTCTACGCCACAAAAGCAAAAACCAAATACATGTAAATTTTTGTTTTTGTACTCCTGCCACTTGGTGCTAAGTCTCTGAAGATAGTTGTAAATATAAGTTGCAAACGTTGTACAAAATTACTTTTCGTTCAAATTTTGATTAAAAAGTTTAAATTTTTTATGAAAATTTTATGAATTTTTCCAAATTTTGTATGTATGTACATTCGGGTGGTCCAAAAGTGCATGTGAAAAAGAAAAGTCGGAATTTTTATGCTCTCACCCCCTAGGATTGTCCTATTCCGAAAAAAGTATATCCCTATTTTTTTTATTTTGAAATCAAAAAATAATTAGAGGTCGCTCAAAGGGCTCAAAGTTTTCCATGTATTTTTATATGGCGAAAAAGCAACTTTTCGTAGAAATGGTATAGAATTTCTTAATAATCAATGGCCCGTAGTTATAGTCAAAATAAAGTCGACTCTAAAGTTAAAAGCAGGTTTTTTTGACAGATATCCCATTGAAAGTTATGTCAAAAAGCTGCTTTTAACTTTAGAGTCGACTTTATTTTGACTATAACTACGGGCCAATATTTTTCGATAAAAACACCTCTTTAACTTTGTAGGAAATTCCCAATAATAATACCTTATTGTTTATTTAACCATTTTTTCATCGCAACTATATTTTATAAGTCCGCCAAAATCCCACAAAAAATTAAAATTCGTTTGTATTAAAAAATTGTTAAATAAACAATTAGGTATTATTATTGAAAGCAAGCGGTTACCCCACGCAAAGCACTTAACATGTAGAAATCTGCTGGGTTATAAGGCTCTACTACTCTGCTACTTTTCATAAAGCGGCGTCCATCCTCTTTTGTTTAGAAAGGGTTTGGGTGTATAATTGCCAAATTTTAGGTTGTGTCACTTTTGAAGATCGTATGCGATATGTAGAAAATACCTAGTTCTCAAAAGTTGGCAAATTTTATTTTGCATTGAAAGCATTACTAAATGATTCATAAAGAGTTGGAATCGAAACTGACTGCGAAATTTAGCAAAGAAAAAAGTACCTGGAGATGTACATATTGTTTTTTTTATGTATTTGTAATGACAAAAAATATTACTGCAAAATATGTATGCATATACCTCATATTGTACATACATATGTACGTATGCATACATACATATATATAAATGCATGCATGTGTAAATTGCGCCGCAAGTGCAACTTTGTTAACGTGTTTTTGTGAAATTCATTTACTTTTAATGTACCTAACAAAGTGCACACAAAATTACAATCATTAATTCTAAATTATACTAAAATATAAACATGTTTTTAGCTTACCTTTGCCTCCTTTTTTGTTGCGTCGCGGCATCCTCTTGTCTTTATTAGACGTCTTACGTTTAGATTTAGGCGATGTGGCGAAAATTTTGAATGAGCACAAAGATGCAGTTGTAGAAATGATAGAAATCGCGCTGCCGGTTTTTATACCCGTCGTATTTGCGCAGATGTGCAGCTGTTTGTCCTTAAACGTTGATACGAATGCGGATGTGAATTGAAATGCCGGCTTTGATGACAAGGATACAGTTGACAATTTATCGACTGGTTTACCTGTGTGTGCTGCCTGTAGTTGCAGGTTATGATACTTTTGAATACCCTTTTTAGTGGTATTGGCGTGCACGTTTATTGACACTTCTTCGCTTGTTTCCACGACGGAGGACGAGCACAAAGCCTGTACAATGATGAACTACTACTGGCTACAAAAGATTAGCGTTGACTCTTATGCGTATGTTGACAGCCTGACAGGAGGTTGTTTGCGCTCTGCTTTTTAGATGCTTCCCTCAATTTTGCTTAAGTAATTTTGGAAATATGCGGATAAATGCTACTTTTCAGAAGTTACACTCTTTATTTAGGTTATTTTTCACCAACGCTCACTTTTTTTTACTTTTATTGATTTTTATAAATCACTAAGGTTTTTTGTTTTGCTTTGCTTGTTTATTTAAATTTTATTATTTGGATGTCCAAAAGTTTTTTAGATTTTTAATTTATTTTTCAAGGATGATAGGTTTTGGGGACTTTAATTCCAATTGGTTTTGGAGAGGGTACAATTTACTAAAGTCGTACTTAATCAAGACGCAGCTATGCAAAAGTTTTGATTCTTCCAATTTTTGAATATAGTAGAAACTTTATTATACTCGTTTATTTGTAGTTGTTGATTTTTTACTTTCGCAAATTTCACTGCACCACACAAACTCACGTTGTTCAATGTTCCCAAGTTGACCGCGTGTAAATTATTTATACGTTGGGATTCTTGCTCAGCTTCGGTAAAATTCAATGAGTAATACTTCTTATGTTGTTGTAGTTGGGCCTTTGTCGTTGCAACAAATTTCATGTTTAATCGCAAATTTCAAGTTGCTGATAAATTTTCTGTCTCTACTTTTGTCTACCAGATAACCGACCCGACTTTTTTCACTGCACTGTGAAATAGAAATGGCAGCACGAAACTCTTCGTATCGATCAACTGAACCACCTCCGCGTGGAAGAGGGGCGTTAACACAAAAAAAAAAATATTCAATAGCAGGTATAAATCAGTGTTGATTGTTTCAAAAACACTTTGCACTTTTTAATGTTTGAAATATATTTACCTGGCTATTCAAGTTTAGCTATTTGCATAAGGATTTTGCCGCAAAGGTTTTTTCGTCACCGAAAAGTCTATGGGCAATTCGTGGTCGAACTTCACAAGGTCGTCGTGCGTGGCTACCGCGCGTATCCTCGGTTTTTCACCTCAGCAAACGTTGCGAAATGAGAAAATTTTAGATTTTCGCGGAGTTTGCACTATTGCTAACAATTTTGCAATTGTTAATTTTTATTAAATATATTTTTCTCACCAATTTTCACTGAATTGCGAAACGATTTTTCACACGTTGTCAACTCATTCAATTCATGAATACGAATGTGATGTAAAAGGAAATTAAGCAGAATTTCACAAATCGGATTGATGGCCACGAAAACGGGGGATTTCGGTATTATTAAGGAGTTATTTAAAGAGCTGAATGAATTACGCAGAGCATTCAAAATATGGACATTATTATTTTTTATCATTTACTGTATTATTTTTTAGTAGTTGTAGCATTTTTTTAAAGAATATTGTATTTATTTAGTGAAATAAATTAATAGCAGACTCAACAATCATGCTTGACAGCATGTTTGAGATGCTTGTAGTGTTAATTGTAAATAATGATGCCGTTTTGATAGAATTCTACCAAATTCGGTATACAATTTTTCGAAATTTAAATTTGGTGGATTGGTAGATTCTTATTTCATTTGATAGATTTTGCCAGACGATTTTTTGATGGCATTCATTTCAAGGAAACGACAAGTATTAGTCGAATAAGGCCATATATTTTACATAAATGACTACTTAATCAAAAAGGATTAACTTTTCAAATATTAAGTAGGATTCAAGCACTAGCTATACTTACATTGAGAGAGCAGGGCATAGAGAAGCAGCGCATGTGAAGCAGTGGTGTAATTATATTCGGTATAGAGCGCATAATCTCCCAGAATTAGCTGTTCAGTGTAATCAGATAGGCTTTCTGCACATTGGTCGTCCAATCATCGTTGCAATCATGATGCAACGATTACATGACGACTACACTTTCGCACAGTCGGTCGTGATATTTCAATTCATTTGGCGTCTAAAAATTCCCTTGGAGCAGGTATTTTCTGTTTTTCTGGTTGATATTTTTTCGAAATATTTACAAAAACCTGCCATTTTCAAAATATAGACTGTGCTGCACCAATTCTAGACATTTTTCAGTAATATCTCTTCTTTTCTTTTCCTGAAATGTGTTTTGTGCATGCACACAGAGACCTTTTACAATTTTGTCATATTTTATAGTTAAAACGCTCACATTTATTGAATTTTAATGCAATTATCCACTTTTTGATAATTTCCACAGATTTTTTGCAAGAAATACTAATTTGTATACAATTTTAATGCAAATATTAACTTGTTTACTAATTTTTCCCCATAAAATGTAAACAAACAATGCGTGCACAATGATTGGCAAACGCCAGTTCCGTACTTATCCGTTTCTGCATCTTCTTCCATTTGCCGATAACGAAAAGTGTGCCAATCTCCTTTGAAATGCATGTACTCGGCTTAAAATTTCAGGGCGATACGATAACGCAACTATGATTGGACGACAAGTGTGCAAATAGCCTTAGTCTGTTCCTGTACTCTAGGATTTAGTTAGGAAAACTAACTGACGATTGCATGTTCATAGCCTAAATGAAGTCGACATTAAAGTTAGTTGCTGATTTTTGTCATAATTTTCAGTGAAATGGCGGCAACTAACTTTCGACTTTGTTTCGAATATAAATATACGCGAATGTATGTACAAGAACAACTTCTCAGTAATTCCTGTAAATGTGATTGGTACTGGAACAGACTAAAGGTCTGATTATGCATACTTCGGGCAACTTCGCACAACAATTTATACCAGTGCAATAGAAATGTAACTTAAGAAAATGTGAAGCAAAATCTAAACTCAACAGATCGCTAAGTTTTTAAAAGTTCTGCTAATTTCTGGGTAATGGAATACATACAAAATACACACAAGGTACATACGAGTTTGAAGTTTATGCGAAGTTGTGCGAAGTATGCATAATCAGACCATAATGAGAACAATGATAGTGGCATCTCTCTTTGAAAATGTCACATAGCGAAAAATCGAAATTCTCCCGATTTCGCTGTACTGCCCTGTTATGCGCCGCGTCGGATAATCGCTGGATGCATGATTCAATAATACAAGGTTAGATAATTATTGACAGCTGCGGTTTGACACTCCCTTACAAAAGGTTGCATTTACGAAGGACAGAGAAAGGGCAAGAATGCAATCCCTTGTTTCGAAAATGGTAGTAGAAAAGTACGCAAAGTAGGCAATTAGTTGGGAAATTCCTTTCGTAAATTCTTATGTATTTGCAGGAAATCTGGCATTTTAAACGAAATGTTGAACGTAATATTGATATATCTACGTGAATTGCGTAAATCATACGCTATTTAGCCGTATAAAAACTGCAAAATGACTCAAAATTAAAATAAGCCTACTATGAGATTGATGTAAACATCCAATGCTTAGGTTTTCATCAGTTAAATATGCTTCATATGCATATACAAATAAACATATTGCACAAAAGCTTATACTTTTATTTCACGCCAAAGCTACACTGTTTCCATGTAAATTTGCAAAGAAGCAACACGGTCCCACTGCTAAGGGAGCGGTGCGAGAGAGACAACTGTCAGTTTATCGAACCTTGTATTATTGAATCATGCGCTGGATGTATCCGTTGCGAAATAGAAGGGAACTCTTTTATTTTTGGTAGATTGGTATTTTGGTAGATTTTGTGTGGGCCTTTCGGTAGAAAACAAATTTTTGGAACGGCAACACTAGTTTTAAAGCAACCCTGTTGTGGTTGGAAGAAAGAGTGAGAGAAGAAATAAACAAAGACAATTTCGAAATGTCAAACAAAAACCATTATCAAAATGTGTGAATAGGTCCAGTTGGAAAATAAATTACCTGGGCGTTTAAATGAAAACTAGTAATAGCAGAATTCTAAAATTTATATTGAAACAAACTCTCAACTCAATAACACGTGAAAGCCAAGTATGCGATACAAAGTTTCTATTAGTTAAAGTTTAATAACATTTAAAAGTATCACGAAAGGAAAATTTACGAAAAAATAGTTTACGAAATTCTACGTTAAAATACGCAGCAAGAATACGAGCGAACCAAGAAAGTACGTAAAATATTTAACTATAGTCGAGTTGTGCATAAACAGTCTTATATTTAGCAGGTATTTTTCAGAGTGCCAAAGGAGCTGTCCCGAGGTTCATCATTTAGGAGATCGGCAAAGGTAATACGCTATATGAACATTCATACATATGTATATAAAAATATACAAATATATATCTATGTACATACATATGTACGTACGGTACAATACTATTTGCGTTCGAAAACGCTCTGTAGGATCAAAGGCCGTTTGCTAAGTTTTATAAGCGATAGTAGCGGAAAAGCAAAGGTCATTCAGACATTAAGATTATAAACTCAAGAAGGGATCGCAAAATCATGGGCGAATTGTTTAAATAATGTGACGCAGAGAGTTATGTACCTATCTAAAATACATACATATGTATATGGAAAGAAGTGTAGCAAAAAACAAAGAGCCATATAGAAGCTTCAAACGCAATTATTTATATTGCTGCAGCAGATATTAGAAGGCAGTATATTTGTGATAGCGATTCGCTCCGCTTACTTTTGCACTCTTTTAATCCATTCGCTTTCCAGCTGGTTTTCAACTATTCACTTGCATAAAGTTTGTTTAAGGTTGTTTAGATAGTACGTGGTCTATTTATTGTATTGAAAAACTTGTTGCGCGACTACTTTTCGTTGCAGTATGTTTCACAACACCTCTACCTAACTTTAGTTGTTATTAGCGTATGTGTATGTGCATTCGTAGCTTGCCGGGTAGGATTTTAATCGCTTAAAATGCGTCAGTAGGAGATGTATAATTTCCGCGTTATGACTATGCAGTCACTCAAAACCAGTACGAGTATGCTAGGCTTAGCTAACAATGTCGCTAATTCTTTAAATAGCTCTTATTAGATAGCACTTTGAAGCGATTAAAATTTAATTCTTTATATTAGGAAAAACGACTTTGTTGTAAATGACATTAAATAAAATCTTTTAATTTTTTAGCACATTTACTCGCTTTAACTGCCCCTCTAATATTCGCTTTTCAAGATTTTACATGCTTACATATCGCTTCTACTCATTTTATTAATACTGATAAATGACTTAATTTTACACTCAGTGCGTTCTTTCACTAAATTTAGCGCAATCGCATATAAACTAAATAGGTTTCCTATTATAGCAGAAGTATTAAATTGAAGCAACATAGTTCTGCAGAAATTGTTCACAAAATTAATATTACGAACAAATTTGTATGCCAGCTGAACTACCTTGCAGTTTGATGTATTAATTCAACTTTATATACTATACATACATATTTTAAGTTTTAGGCCCTAAACGCCGTTATAATAAATAAACATTTTTGCAACGATTTCATTCTTATCAAATGTGTTCAATACGACTTGCTCTCATACACAATGATAAGTAGAAATCAACATCATTTATCAGTTTGAGTGCGGCATACAAAGGGAATTAATGATTGGAATTTTCAGCACATCAACAGCAACTTACTGCGACTTACAACACAATAAATCTACTGCCACTAAAATACGATGGCTTCGATTGAGGAGCGTTTTCAAGCCGCCGTCAATGTGATCAAAGGGTTACCTAAAAATGGCCCATATCAGCCTAGCACCGCCATGATGCTCAAATTTTACGGATACTACAAGCAAGCAACAGAAGGCCCTTGCCATCAAAAACGTCCAGGATTTTGGGATGTTGTTGGTAAAGCGAAGTGGGATGCCTGGAATGATAATCGTCACTTAACGAAACATCAAGCTATGGAACGTTATGTAGAAAATTTACGCGAAATTATTGAAACAATGTCGTTTACCGAAAATGTACAGAACTTTGTGGGTAGCATTAGTGGCTTGGATAATATAAACTTAGATGAATTGGATATGGTGGCACCTGGCATGCGTGAGCTTGCAGAGTCGCACCCAAATTCGCCATTCAATTCACGCACCAACAGTCCACAACATGGAGCAAGTGTGAATGGCAGCAGCGGTGAAGAGGATGATGTAAGTGAAATTATTCATTAATTGATTAAGCAATTAATTTAACCATTATCTATATCCTCAAATATTTAGCTCTCCAATACTGTTCAATTCAACGGACATGTTTCAAAGAAACCAAATCATATAGATCACAACAGTGGTTTGATGAATGGCACAACTGAACACGAAGAAATCATCGCAACACAATCGAAGCCAACAACTTCAATGATGCCTGAAGTATCCTTAACCCTTTCCACTTATGCCACGTCCAGTGGCACGGTGGATCAATCTGATGATGAATATGGTGATCCAGTAGACTTGAATGGCGACCTCACTGAAGCCATGGTTCATAATTCTGAACTTTTGAAACAAGTTCAGGCAACTGTATTGCGTATGAACGCCGATTTGGTGGCAGTGAATCAACGCATGAATAGCCTGGAGAAGGTTGTAAACGACGTCCGTTCTGCTGTGGTCCAGAACGCTAAGCCTAGAGGACGCAAATACCCCAAATGGTGGCCGTTTGAGGATATTTCGCCTATTTGGTTCACACTACTTGTGCTATGGCCCTTCGTAGTGGGAAAATTATCTCGTGCCCTAACAGCACCGCGTCGGAAGTGAAGGCGATGCAATGGTGGTGTTGTGGATAAAACTTAGCAGGTAAAATAAGGGCGCAAACGAAAACTGCCGACAATTTTTTTATTTGAAGTCTCTTTCAGTGTATTCCGGCTATTCAAATACGTTACACTCATATATTAAGTTGGCTATACTGGGTACTGATTAATGTTTCTGGACATGTAGAGGATGAATGCCATGGGCGATTGCTTCAGCTTTACTTTATATTTTGCGCAAAATAATCTGCGAAACAAATATTTTTAATCGAATTTAAGAAGCTGCGTAAAAGAAATCCTTAAGATACATAAATGTAGGAGTTAAAATGGGATTAGGTAATGTGAAGCACAATAGTTAAAGTTTTGTATACGTATTTTTTGGTTTTTTATCCTTTTTATATATGTATAATGGTAAATATGTATGTATGTACCTTTATGATGCATTCCTCCCACGCAATATTTTGTGCAATTTTCGTCCGAAGTTATTGAGAAAAAACGGTTGTAAGGTTATTTTTTTTAGCAGAAAAAAAAAACATTTCTGATCGCTGATGAATCAACAATCTTTTGAGTTCCACATTTTATGTCTCTATTCTTTGATATACAATTTATTCGTTATAACTTCAATTTACAACTTATATAAAAAATAAAACCAAAGGGCGCATTTTGTCAAAGTATTAACTCCAGAATAATAATTATGAAAATTATGTAATAGTATACGTTTGTATGATTGGACGTGCATACATATGTATATACAAAATATTTCTTTAATCAAAAATAAAAGATTTTATAAAAAAACAAAAAACCTTTAAAATAATTAATTTATCGTGTTTCATTTTTATATTACAACATAATAAATTTATTTACGTGTATTTATAAAAAAAATCGAAAAATTAAGGCTGGTAAGAACGTCTGTTTGGATACATATATTGCAAATGGGATTTTTTTTGCGTAAAACAAAATTTTTTTGAGCGCTATATGTGCATACAAAACATTTCTTTGGTAAAAAATAAAAGATTTTATTGAAAACAAAAAAAAAAACCTTTAAAATAATTTATTTATCACAGTATTACCAGAGAACGTTTATAACTGAGAAGGCGCATTTTCTCTGTGAACTAATTTCTGCCAGAAATTTTGGGGTGCAGTCGGCCAAATACACCACACCTCGACGAGTGCACCACTCGACCAGAGAACGTTTATAACAGAGAACGTATATTTATAGAGAAGGTCCAAGAACTGTGAATGCCACATTTTTCGAGCCAACTAAACTGGCGAAGCGCATTTTAAGAGCGACAAATATTTGGAATACTTAACAGCGAAAGCAAAATACAAAGCAGAAAAGAAGAATATTAACAGAGCTAAATCTCACGAGAGC